AGCTGAATTTATAACCAATCTTTCTTTGTTAATATAGGCTATTGTTACACAACAATCATTTCACTCGCGCGAATCTTCTTGAAAATAACAATGATGTCAATATACCGAAAATAAATCTTCTATAGAACAATTATAATTTACATCATAAGTTCTTTAAAATACTTTAATAATGAAACAATTAGATATTCAGATATGTAATCTATAATTTTTTTTATATGTTTTTTATATACTTTACATTTAAAAAAAAAGTAAACGTAAAACAACAATGTTTGGTAGCATATTAAAGAATATAGATGCCAGAAAATATAAAATTCTTGATATATTATTGTTTGAATTTTTAAAAAGGAAAATAAAAAATTATTTACAATTATTTATAAAAGTTTATTTAGTTTGATATTTATTTTGATGACTAATATATTTTAAACAGTTTAAAATATTAAAAAATTATTTTTTATTAATGAGCAAAATTGCTTTTTTTTTTTCATTAAATGATTTTATCGTTATTTTTAAATTATATTTTGAGGCAATTTTTATTATTTATTTTAATATTAATTATTATTTTAATAATAATTAAAAATAATTAATTATTTATTAAAATAAAATAATTAATTAAATATAATTAGACGTGAAAAAATTATTGTAATTTGATAATATAAATTTATATTTTATATTTATATTCTAACTCAAAATATGATTTTTCGTCAATTTTTTTTGCCATTATATTAGTATCTAAATATTTATTATAGTTATACATAAATATTACAGTTACTTATGTACAATATTCATTTACAATCGTCGAGATATCATAAAAATATCATAAACTATATTTTTAATTATATTACAATTAAAATATATTCTTAAAATTTTAATCAAAATTTGATCTTATATAAAAATTGAAATGTCATTGCTTAAATACTATTGCTTAAATATTTTTGACAGTAATTATATAAGAAAAGCCAGAGTTTGTCAAATAAGTGTAAATATAAATCAGTTCTCAGAAATATCCGGTTGGCTTTCTTTCATCGGGTCTCAAGTCGAATGTCAGTGCGATAATCGGATACATTCAGAATTTCGCGAATCGTTGTGTAATGTCGTCTAACATTAGGATAGTCCCTATGATATACTTGCCAGAAATTATAAATAAATTTTCTCAGCATCAAATTATGAAGTAGGTCACTAGGAATATGGAACATCATCAGCAAGCGTGAACCATGGAAATGATCTCGTTTGATTTTGATAAAAGATGCTTCAAAGCTTCTAGAAACGTATCTTTATTTATGTATCTTCTAAATAAACAATAAATTAAAAGGATATTTTAATAATTTATACAAATATAGAGGTTACGGTTTTGCAATATGATTAGATTAATATCAATGGCTTATTGAAATAATGTTATATTCATTTTCTTCTATTTTGTTATATCTTTTTTATTCTATTTTCAAACAGAATATTTAAAGATTCAATGATATATATTGAATCAAGAATAATAAACAAAAATATAATTTTAAGAAATTTATAAAGTAGATTTAAAAAAATTTTTATAAAAAGAATTTAGTTATTATATATTAAAATTCAAAATAATAAAATTAAAAAAAAATTGTATAAAAATTCAAATTTCATGAATATGAAAAATTTCATAAATTCTAATAAACTTTTTTTAGAAGCAAAGATTACTACATCAATTTATTTTATAGTATTATAGTATTATATAATATTATTTATTTTATAGTATATTATAATATTATATTATAGTATTATACAATTATATATTATAGTGTTACAATACTATTTTTGATAAAATTGTCATGAGAAAATAGCAGTTTTTTTTTTGTATTATGATAAATATAAATGAAAATAAAAAATAATTTATTACTATTTTTTACTATTTGAATTAATATTTTATTAAAAAGAAAAAAAATACATAAATTTAAGATATTTTATAATATTTTGAAAATGAAATGAATAATTTAAATTAATGATGTTGAATGTAATGAAATTAAATAAAAAACATAAAAGAATTTTCTTGAAAAAAAAAGTGTGATCAATGAAATATTTAAAAATCTTCGAGTATATAATTATAAAATAATTTTATAAAAAAAATTTATAGATTCAATTTCAAATTTATTATTTTTTCTATGTATTTGATTTTTTTTTAATAAAAAAAGTATATATATATATATAAAAGTAATAAATGTTTATTACTTTTAATAATAATATTAATGCATTTGTAAAAATTATTTATTCAAAAATCCAATTGCCATTTCATCATAATTTAATTGAATTTTATAATAAATGTATTTATTCTGTATTTGATGAGTATCATCTGTGTCATCTTTTAATTTTAATTATGCACATAGTTATATATTCCTAAAATAACATTATTTAATTATGAAAAATTTTGGTGAAACAATCAAATAAATTAAATGAATAAAATTTATTATTTGATTTAATTTATTATTTAACAATTGAAATAAATGAATTATTAAAATTATAACTGATCGAAAAATATTATTGTATGTACTTATGTATTTATAAATGTATTTATTAATATTGATTGCTAATTATGTATCCATTTGATTAATGATATTAATTATTTTAATCAAAATTTAATTTAATTTAATAAGTTCTATATATATGAGAATTCAAATTAAGCAAATTACATTAGCAACTAGCAATATATTAAAGATATTATATATATAAGATATAATTCAAGTTAATATTGCTTTAAAATTTGTATATGATTATTGCTAGATTAATTTTATTTTATTTTGCCATTTTATTTTAATTATATATATTTTGTAATCATTACAATTTGATTCTTTAAATTTAAATTTAATCTAAAAATAGAAATGATCTCTGAATTGCATATATGTAATTTTATATTTATATCTAATAATATAAAATTTAAATTAATATGTTTTCTAAATGTTATGAAAGTTTAACATAAAATGGAATACTGGATAAATTTTTAATTTTCTCAGAAATAATCTTCCGAAACAATTTTTTTTTATATTTCCAATTATTTGATTTTTTTATTTTATTACATTGATTTTACTTTCCTGATTCTTTCATTTTCATTGATTATTAGTATCCTTATATCAATTAAAATAAATGTTATTGTTAATAATAATAAATAATCAAATATAATTATAATCTTCAATCGTTAATCGTATCAAATATCCCCAATTAAATATCCCCATTAGCAACTTTATTAATTTTTTTTATTTTTAACTATATTTCTTGACTTCCTGATCTAATTCCTGATCTAATTCTTAATTTTTATTAAAATGATATTCGAAGAGCATTCTAATAGAATAATTCAATCGAAAACATAATCAATTTTTCCTGTTCAATATACATCATAAACATCCTTTCTTTAATTACATTATTTTGAAAAAATAAAGATGATAAAAAATCAATTTAATTCAGAAAAATAAAATTAATAATCTATATTTTATATTAAGTAAGTAATTTGTTAATTAGTATAATACCAAATGTTTTAATAATATCTATTTCTATATTTTATTTTGATATACAATTCTTTGCATAAAAATTTCTATTTTGCGATTTTGCAATATTTGATCACGAATGTAAAAAGTTATTAAAAAAAATGTAAAATATTTAAAATATTGTGATCACACAAAAACCAAAATTTTACCTCATATAATCATTCACATAATGTACATTCTTAATGAATTTTAAGTAGATATATATCACTTGAATGTGATATAATATCAATGTTTTAAAATATCTTTAATAGTATTCAAAAATTTATATCGTATATTATTCATGTATTTTAATTTTCTATAATTAAAAGCATCATGAAAATCGTCCATGCGATATAATTACGAAACGAGCATCCATAAAAATTTCTATTGATCAAATATATCTCGTTGAAAAATTTTTCGCGTGTAAAAAATAGAAACGGTATATTTCGTCAGAAGTCGTTAAATTGGATTTTTATTATCTTCTACTTTTGATGACTCCTCGTTAAAATTAACTTCTACTAACTGACGAGCAGAAATCAACTGACGAGACGAAAAGCAACGAAGTCTGATAATCTCGAGAATAGGCATATGGTTAAGTTTCGAAAATAGGGTTATGCGTGTCATGAAGTGGTCGTAATTAACTTTGTTAATAGGCATATTGAAGCGCTTCTGCATAATCTCTGATTTATCGATTTCTTTCAATCGTATCTGTTACATATTTAAACTCTTTATTAATATATAATCTAATACGAAATCTGAACATATCTTGGCAAAAATTAATTTTCTTATGTAAAATCTTTTATATAAATTCAAAAATATATTTAAAAGAGTAATATTTAATTGCCATTTTTATTTTGTTGCAAATATGTACAGTTAATCATAAAAATATTTTTACCCAATATTCTTACAAAGAAATTTACGTATTTTTTAAAATCTGATTTTAATAAAAATTTTTCTATATAGAACAATTTATTTCTCGATGGAAAATCTGAAATCAACATGAAATCAATCCTCTTTCATTTTTTTCATGTTTTGTACACAATTATAAATATTTTTTTAACAAAATATTTTGTTAACAAAATAATACATTAGAATTAAAATATTTTATAATTTAAATATTTTATTTTGCTTATCTCATTATGAAGTTATTTAAAAAACGAAAATAATTATTGAAATTTCAAAATTGTTTCTTTGAAATGATATTCCATTAATAAAAGTTGTTCTATATACAATCTATTATTTACAATATTTTATATAAAAAATAGAATTATTGTTGATTTTATTTAATTATTAATTGAACTCATAATTAAAATACGCATAAAATATAAATTATAAAATTTTGTGATTAATTATATTATGTGTGATATTATAAAAATTTTTAATGCAAAATAATATATCTTGTTTATGATTTTCATTTTAATAAAAATCTTATTTATTAAATTATATATAAATTGTATATTATATAAAAATTGTTAATTTTGAAAAAAATAATTTGTTTATTTTTATTTCTAGTGGGCCAAAGAAGCACAAGAAGCCGAACGTCTAAATAAAATGCTAAAAATCGAGAACGAGGAAAACGCAGCTGCAAATAATTTAGCTTTAGCGATTCAGAATTGCAATGAGGCCCGAGCAAGTCAATCTGATAAATTTTTCGATTCTTTGATCGATAAATACGCAAACATGGCTAAGAAATCGACGACGAAAAAGAAAAACATGTCTGTAAAAACTGCAAAAAGTCCAAAAACTTCCAAAAGTTCGAAATCTCCAAAGAAAACCAAGAGGAAGGCGTAGAATAATATAATTATTGCACGAATCTCCCTCCAAGTTAGAATATTTGCGCGATTTTTATAACTTAATTATTAATCATCGATAGGAGTACCATTATTCGGTACATCAATTAAAAGAAGACGAAAATGATTATATATAAGTTTTGTAAATTCAAAACATGTATATCGTCTTCTTAAGCCGTCATATTAATTATGCGGATCACTGATTAATTTCTTTATAATCTTATGTAGATATCATGTTCAAATATAAAATTGAAATTAACTGTTTTTATATTTATTATAAAAAATGAAATAGTATTATAAACTCGGTAATAAAGAAAAAGAAAAGTTACTGAAATCACGTTAATATTTAATTAAATATACAGTTATTATATAAAAAATTATACTTGATTTATTGAATTTATTTTAATTTAGTATACATTTAAAATTTCAATAATCAATTATTCGATAAATACAACATAGTTACCATTATAGGGTAATGGTAACTTATACTCTACTTTATCGATCTAATTTATAGATTTCTTTCATATCATACTTATATGATAAAACATTCTCAGTAGTTCTCATTTATTTTTATTTATTATTTAAAAATTTATTGTAAATAAATAAGTAAACAGCTTTTTGTGTATGTAATGCACTTTTTTATAACTTTATTATATTAATCATTATTATTAGCATAATTTTTTAATTTTTAACAAGATATAATGTAAATATGTAAAAATTAAAAAAAATAAGTAATAAGAAACAGAACTTAAATATAAAAGTAACAAATATATTAATAATAAAATAATTATAGAAATAAAAATTTTTACTAAAAAAAAAACCATGGATATTATCACTAATATTTAAAATAATTGATTTGTCACATTATTGTTCAAATATAATCAAATATGATTTTATCATTATATCAACAAAAAATCAGAGAGAAAAAAAAAGTAAAAAATATTATTAATTTTCTTTTGTTGAAATAAATTTGATAAGTCGTGATTCCAATGGTAACGATGTTAATGTTTTTTGATTAGTTTAGTAGATATGATGTATATCGACCATCATAAGTGGTCGTCACATATGGTCATCTTGTATTACGTCTGGTCTAACTTGAACAACACACCATACATCAGGTGACATACTTTTAGATAAACGGTACATCACCTTTTTCAGAAATATACTTTAAAATGATTATCATGCATAGTAAGTTCGTAACCTTGTCAATTATAAATTCTTGTCTTATTGTTTCCGCTGACAATTGTCAATGATTTGTATTTATTGTAATAGCATATATTGCAAGTCATGGAAAAGTATATAAAATAAAACACAAATTTTATAAATAATAAATAAAAATGAGGAAAAAAAATTTTGAAATATAATTAATCTTAAAATCTTAAAAAATTAGAAACATAGAAAATTTTTAAAATTAATATAGATATTTTATAAAAAATAAAAGTAAATCAATATAAAGAAAAATAAAATATATTATCATAAGAAATAAATTTCAATTTTAAAATTTTATTTTTTAACTATCCTAATAAAATATATTTGGTAAACTATATTTTTAATATTTTAAGTCACAAAAAAATCACATGAATATTGCTTTGATGTGTCACTCATTATGCAAGTAATCAACATATACATTTATACGGTTTCATATCTTTATATGTGTCTCCATCTTATTACCGATATGTGGAACAAACATTAAAGTAAATTATCATTATTAATAAAATGTATAATAAGAGATCTTCAGCATCAAATTATAAAAGAATAATGAAACATAATGGGAATATTCTAATGTGAAATGATATTTTTTGAAATTAAATGTAAATTGCAATTAGATTTAGATATTAATGTTGTTTTTAAGAATAATTCATTATGGGTAATTGTTTCCATCGATATCAATTCAATTTCAATAGAATCAAATAGGATAAAATTATGAAGCAAGTTGAGAAAGTTTAGTCATGCAAAACATTTCAGAATAAGCAACAAAGCATAAAATTAAATATAATTCAAATCAATTTGCAAGAAATTAATTAAATAAAAATTTAATACTTTTTATAATGAATAGAATTAGAGATCCTTATTAAAGCTAAAAAACGAATTAAATGATAACGCTATTCTTTTTTTTTTTAATAAAATAGTGTTTAATTTTTGCCATTTTTAAGCTAATTTCAATTTTCTTTTTTAATTATAATTTTTTATTATAATAATTTTTGTTTTCTATCTATACATTTTTCCATTAATTATTAATTCATCAATAAACACTTTAAGTGAATAGATAAAAAAATTAATATTTGTATTAATAAATAGTTATTTAAAATTTATTATCAATATATAATTTCTTTTACTATTTAATATTAATTTAGTTTATTTATAGACGTTTATTTTGATATTACATGAAAAAAATAAAAACTTATTCATAGAATTTTAAAAAAATAGAAGAATACTTTGTAGAGATATTTAAATTGTTTATATTATATATTGTATATGTAATATATATATATAAGATTATTTATATATATATATACATATATATAATCTTATATTATCTTATAATATATATATTATATTTTGCTATATTATTAATACTTGATTAATGTATCTAATTTTTATTTCAATTTTATATACAATTGATATGAATCTATTGAATTTATTATATAAATTAATTGTTATACTTGTATAAAATAATTGTTTTAGTTGTATAAAGAGATAAAAGAATAAAAGAGAAGAATTTAAAAAATCATAACTATTAATAACTTACCATCCAAATACCTTAAACTTGCTAAGGAATATGCAATAGCATGAAATGTTACAGCATTCAATAAATATACATCAACAAAGCGGATAAGTTTATAGATGAATAATAGTAACAAAACAACATCACAATGGACCAAAAGGTCTTTGTCGCGTAAAGTTATATAATCAACGAGCTATAAAGAATTCATGGTCGTAAACCATTGTGCGTATCTTACTCAACGTTTAACTCTCCCGCGATTCGCGTGTAGTTTCTTGTTTATGGTTCAATAAATCTGGCGAGGCAAAGAGGAATGGAAGGATAAATGAAATCTAACATCGCCCCTGACATTTAGTAGATTCATACATCAGAATCTATTGGTTCAATTATAACATTTTTCCTCCTGTTGCTTTTTTTTTGTATTTATTATTTGTATTTATTACTATATATTAATAATAAATTCAAATTAATTTTTTAAAATTTAAAAGTTAATATTTAAAGATTTACTTTTGAAAAATTTCAAATTTATTCTATAATTTTATTTGTTTTATCTTATAATAAAAATTAATTACAATTAAAACATAATAGATTTTGTTAATCTATATATAAAAGTATATAATTTGAAACATTCTATAATTAAAGATTCCATCTTTAATATAAATAGAATAAAAAATACGCCAAATTTATAAAATATATAATCATTAAATTAAATATCTGTTTGTCAGAAAAAGAGATTATATTTTACGAAGAAAAAATTGGAATATTCTTAAATAATTTATAAACTTCTTCTTATATTTTGTTCTCCCAAAATTATACGCAGATATCTATATAATATTCAAACAGAAATATAATATTCAATCATTTTAAAAAGAAAATTCTCATATCTTGAAGAATTTTCTTATATTTGCAAAAAAAGAGAAAAAGGAAAAATTTTAAATTACTAAAAGAAATTTCAAAGGAATATTATAAAAATAGTTTGTTTTAACAATTTTCAGGCCGAGTTGGAGATTAGGAAGAAAAAAAGGAGCATAAGAAAATGGACTACAATATTTAGACCATGATCAACGCGCTAATATTTTAAACACGTCCTTTTAACTTCGCAGGTTCTTCTTTTCCTATATGCGCTCCTAATCACGAGTCGGATCAGTAGATATAACATGTACCACGATGCACCCCGTTAAATCTCGGAAGAGATCAAGGGAGAGCGAGGGACAGTCGAAAAGAGAGAAAGAAGGAAAAATAAGAGAGAGAAAGAGAGAAAGAAGGATGGAATGGGGTTGAAGCAATATGATAGAAAGAGAAAAGATGATATGGTCTCGAGTAGGAAGAATGGAGTAAAGTAAGAGGAGGAGGTGGTGGTCATCGATGGAGGTGGAGGAGGAGAAGATGGTGGAGGAGCAGAACAGAAGGAGAAGGGGAGAGCGACATTCCAGAAGGCGGCGGCGGCGGTGGTTCTCGTGGGAAACCAAAGAGAGAGAGAGGAGAGAGATCTCGTCTCAAGAAGAGGTTGCGAGCCTTAAGGCACTGTTCTCATCTCCCGACAAGCGCGACAAGATCGGCACAGAGAGACTTCTGCCTTGGCTGCCGCCGACATTTGTCGAATTTATGATTCCATGTCTAGCTCTGCATATATATATCTGTTATGAAGTATTACTAGAGAGTATTCTGAGGAAGAAAGTATCGATCTTAAATGGTTTTATCTTAAAAAGCTTATAGTGACTATGAAAAATATTTGTATAACATTTTATTATAATGTTTATATAATAATCAATTAGATACATTTTATATGCTATTAAATTTAACATAATTAATATGATTTAATATTAAAAATAATAAAATAAAAGAATATGATAACAAATTTCATTGAAAAGATCATATGCAAATATTTTATTATTTTTTTTGTTATTACATAATAAATATTGCTATTAATATTATCTGTATAAGTATTTAGAATTTATTATATAATAAAAATTTGGTATAATTTGATAAAATAATTATATAGAAATCGGTTTTAAATAAAAATCTAATATTTAAATATATTTTTAGTATTTAGTCAAACTTTTAGAAATTCAAAAAAAAAAAGTTGATTTAAAGATCATATTGCATTTAAAAGAAATAGAATACAATTATTTTAAAATCAAAATGAAATGAATAAAAAACTGAAGATTTTTTATTAAAAATATATAATATATATAAAATTGTTTATTTATAAATAATAAAAATAATTGTCAAATATTTTATGGTATTATAATTAAATATTATATTAAAATGATGATTATACACTCTAAGAAATAAGTGTAATTCTATCTTCACTGAAGTCAAAATGGGATATGAAAGAAGATAAAATTTGCTCTACATTTTAGAAAATTTAAAATGTAAATTAAATCAAAATATTGATATTCTATTTATTATACTATAAATTCTTATCATAATGAAATACAAAATAAGAAAATATAATTTATAGGGAAAAAAAGTTTTGCAACAAATAAAAATATTTTTAAGAATAAATATTTGAATATTTCTATGATAATTGATTC